GAAAAAAACTTATGAAATATTATCATCAGTGACAGGTCGTTTCAACATTCTAAAAGAAACTAATTAGGAAATGAAGACTAATTTCTCCATCCTCAAATTTATTGCCCCACATTTTAAAATAATGTACCCCCTTTTGACAACGCTCTCTCAATTATTTCAGATGAAATTCTCATTTAAAAGGAAAAAATTTATTTTAAATCAAATTAATAATGAATGTCTGGTACGCAGAGGAGGGCAGGGGGGAGCCGTTGCCTCCTTTCAATATTACTGATGTTACTTGTTGATTGTAATTGTCTGATGCACTAGCGGATCTAGGATTTAATTTTGGGGAAGATTCAGCCCGAAAGATTTTTTTTTTCATATACATATAACGATAATTAATTTGAAAAAAAAAAGAAATTAACTACCTATAAGAAATTGTGTTAAAGTGTTTCTTGGAGTACTGTTAAATATAATTACACGAACAAGAAGACTTTAAGAGATAGTTTTTAATATGTTTTTTCTGTAAAACGTGGTTATATTTTACCATTTTGGGAGGGGCTTCAGCCCGAAAGATTTTCATATTTTCGGAGAATTTTATCAAATCCCGTTCACTACTTCTGCATATACAAGCGTAAATGTATTTTCTTAGACACAGTGATATTTTGAAAGAGCTATGTTCGACTTGGATCAAGCTAGGAGAATAGTTGTTTTTTTAAGTCCATCGACTTTTATACCTATTTTACTTTAAATAAAGCCTCTATCTCGAAAACTTCAGGTAGGATATGTCATAGAGTTGGAAGGTAGTTATGGATTGTAACACAATTATCGACTAAATATCAATTTTATTGGATTCTATCCTATTTTTATTTATTTATTTATGGCGCTATGGTAACACAAGAACCTGGGTATCTCGTATTATTATTCTCCACTCTACTCTATTTCGAGCGAGCATTCTCCATCACCAGATTCTCATCCTTTTCAGGATATCCTCCATCTCGTCCAGCTATCATAAGAGTGGTCTTCCTCTGTCACTTCTTCTACCAGGTCGATCCAACAGTAGGCGTTTGGGAATTGAATCTCTGGGCTCTGGGCTCTTGGCCCAACCATCTGATTTAGATACTCCTCACAATTGAGATCAAATCTGGCATAGCATAGATCTCGCACAGCTCTTTATTGGTACATCTCCACTGCCCATCCTCAAACACCGGGCCACAGATCCTGCGGAGAATCCTTCCTCCCAAGCGATTAATTTCCTTTCTGAGGCCTTAAAGATCACCTAAGTCTCAGAACCATAAGTGAGGACGGTCTTATGACTTTCTCGTCATATCGACTTCTCGTCGTACACTGTAATATAGTTCCATAAGAGAGAGAGAGCTATAATTTAGCAATATATAATTTACAATAATAATAATTTAGCAGCGATTCCATCCAATACTTTCAAAAAATTCTTTCGCTTACAGATACGCCTCTATGAGTGGGCGGGGTGGCCGAATGGGCTAAAGCGTGTGCACTGCACCGCCGTTGCCCGGCAACCTGATATATGAATCAAAGATAAAAAATAGTCACGAGTTCGCGTCCCGGTGCCGGGGGAGTCTTATAAATCCCCGCTCACACCTCATGGCCCGGGAAAATCCCGTATAGCCTTAACGGCGAGGAAGGGAAGGATCCAAAAAAAAAAAAAAAAAAAAGATACGCCTCTATGATTATTTCAAAAATTACTCGTTTAATTCGGCCCAACGCCGGAGAAAATTTGGAGAATAGTGTACAAATGGTCTAATACCAATTTCAACAAATTCCATTTACAATTAAAATCAATGTACTTAATTGTTAAGAATATATCGCTACAAATGAATACAAATATTTTCAGGGCGGATTGAAATTTATTTCGTGGTGAATCCACAGAATATTCTCAATCTTCCCAATCCGGTTAGATTAGGTTTGGTTATAGCTGTATAACAACCCTCTACTCTTCATATAGTGGTGCCCAGAAGAGGGTTTCATGGTCCAAGTTACACCATCAAAAGTTTGAGAGTGGCACATTTTGATGGGGTTATGAATTTATGAGAGAGCTACATTTCTAAGGGTTTATGAATTAATGAAATGAAAAGATTCAAACTAAAACACAAGGGGAAGCATGAAACACTCCAGGAAGCGTTATTGTATTTAATCAACAATTTTTCTAATGCTACTTTACCTTGCACTGCTTTTAGGAATATTTAAGCAATAAAATATCTTAGATGAGACATTGACCTTGGAGGATGGGCATTCCTGCTGCCATATGCCAAAAATGGTGATAGGAAATAATTGAAAAAAAAACGTCGGTCATTTTAGGATAAATAATGAAAATGATTATAAGGATGCTTAGTGTTCCAAAACCCTTTTTACCACAATCTAAATTACAAAAGAGAAACCATCCTAACCAACGTGTCGGTGGAAACATCAATCTATCTCCTGATTAAACAGTGATTAATTATCTGTGTTTCATTAGAGGTCCCATTCACTAACTATATACCACATTTTTAATCATAGAGCTGTTACCATATCAATCTTGTGCAACGAAAAAGATCCCTTCTACGTTTCTGGTCGTTTCATCATGCCAAACGATTGTTTCTTATGTTTTATTTTTAATAATTACCATTAGAAGTGTGGAATGTATGCTGAGTTTCTACATATTGTTAAAAAAAAATCTTTAAGTTAACTCTTTAGTGCCGACATAATCATAGGGGTGTTGGAAAATATCAATATCAACATTGAAATTTGACCATTAAAATTATTTTTTTATCAAAAAAATATATACATAATACTGCAAAGAAGTCGGGTTCAACCAAAGAATGAAAGAATTTTTGTATATATATATATATATATATATATATATACTGATAACTACTTAAGAAGAAAAAGAAACTAACTACCTATATGGAGTGGTGTTTAAGTGATTCTTGAACTCCTATTAAAATGTAATTACACGAACAATAATATTTTAATAGAAATTTTATAATAATTTCTGGTAAAACATTTTTATATTTTGGGGAGAGGGTTTCAGTCCTAAAGCCCTCCTCCCTCGCCCCTCACATCCTCAATCCGGAAGATTTTTTTTGTTTGTATATATTAGGATAATGAGTTCGGAAGAAAGAAAGAAATTAACTACCTGTATGAAATGGTAATTCTTGAAGTCCCATTAAATGTAATTAGATGAACAATAGTACTTTTAGAGATAATTTTTTTCATAAAACATGGTTATATTATACCATTTTGGGAGGGGGAGAGGGGCTTAAGTCTGAAAGCTCCACCCTGCCTCCTGTCCCTAGATCCGCCTGTGGTGTATACTATAGGTTTAAAGTACATTTTACAATTTACAAATGTTAATTATACATGGTGTAATATGTACAATAGATGCTTTACTCTTATTTTCGGATTGGATCTGTCTGGTTAAAAAATATATATATATATATACAATATATATTTGGTATGCAGCAATAGTTTGAGTAAACTATTGAAACAATCAGTACTGGCCTATGGAGTAAACTTGATTTAAATATTTTTTAAATGAGAAATGAAGTTGAAGTTTGTATTTCGCACCTTGGAAAACTCTTAAATACAAGTATTCATAGCAATAGTAATATTTTATTTTCAATCTCAATGCTGGGTTAAAGACTTGATTTTTTTTTTTCCTACTTACACAATATTTAAAAAAAAATTATACAATCTACAATACATGTAAATTACAGTTATACAATTTGAGCAACGAGTAGTACAATTAAATGAACAGTTGTGTAATTTGTAAAACGGGGGTTTGTCTGCCATTAGGCGGACAGGGGGATACCCCTCAAGCTACTAATAAAAAATAAAATTTTGGTTCATTATGTTATTACCAATGATAGTAAGAGGTTGGTGTGTAAGGAGACAAGGATAACAATAGTGAATTTTCAATACTTATAATTTGAAGTCCTGAATGATCCTAAATTTGATTATTTTCTCATCATAACAGAAGTTGTAACATCCAAGTTTTCCTATCAGCGGCAATAAACTGGAAAGATGGAATGGCCTTGAGGACAGCATTAGCTGACAGCTCACCAGGCCTCTGTGACGGAATAATTTTCATCACCTCTACTCAACACTTCACACTTTTTATTTAGGATATCCTTCCAAACCTTTTTATTATGTTTCTATCTAACTTTTATGCAATTGAAATGTTGTAATTTTACATGACCTTCAACACAATTTTTTAAAATAAAATATGAACTTTTAAATTTTTATTTTTTAAACAATTGACCTTTTATAAAGTGGAATGAGTCAAAAACTAAAAGCAAAACTGTTGTATGTTTCCGTCATGTTCTCCCTTAAAAAAAAAAATATACTGTAATATATCATTATATTACTCAGACTAGAAGTACTAATACATAAAACATTTGTGAATTTATTCTCTAGTAAAAAATACTGAGTTAATTTTTTTTTATTTAATCTTATTGTGAAATTTATATTATACATGTACTCGAGGTAGGTAATGGAAAAAGCACAATGTAAAAAATGTGCTTGCCACGGCGTTAATAATTTTTTGGGGGAAATTTGGTTTAACCTACTGCCTCATAGAAAGACCAAAAGATAGTTTTAAAACAGCATTCATCACTGAGGATCCCTTTATTTAAAGAGAAAGAGCTTAAGAGACTCTCGACTCATATATGAGTCCACCGTCGTTAAAGGGTTAACTATTTAGCTTCTTGTAATCCATACAATGTTTGAAACGGCAGTACTGTCTTATATCAAATACATACTAATCTAACATAATGTTGAATATAAAGTGAAAATTTGTTTAAGTTTAGTTTAATTTTTTAAATATCTGATAATCTTTTATATATATATTTAATGAATGAAAAATTTAGTACTATGATTTACAACCTCTAAATAAGGTAGATCAGGGGGAAGGACTTAATTTCAAGACTTAATTTGTGGAATTGTTAATAATGCAGATGAAAAAAAAAAAAAAAAAAATTGATTACACAACAGTAAAAGATGTTGAAAAATGATTAAGTAAGTTAATGTAAAATATCATTTAATATAATACAATTATAATATAAACTATTATAAAACTTAGTAATTAAATCAGGATAATTAAAAAACCAAGATTATTTCATAGGCTGCGGAGGAGGTGGGAGTGGTGCAGGTGGAGGAGGAGGAGCAAGCATTAGATTTGGAGGGGGAGGTGGAACAGGATTAAACATGGGAGGTGGAGGTACGCTCATAGGTGGTGGCAGCATATGTGGAGGTCTCATTTGACCTAAGTGAGGTGCACCCATAGGAGGAGCAAGAGGTTCATTCTTAAATGCAAACTGGAGGAAAAATTGTTTTGTGTCTTTGTTCCAATGTGTCCAAAACTTGTTTTCAGATTTGTCTACTTCACGGCTGGGCACCTGCAAAAAAAAAAAAAAAAAATCAAGATATAGATAATAAAGGCAATTAACCACGTGGAATTATATTAATATAAATATTACTATAAGTATTCCACACACTTATGAGACATGAATAGATATTTCATGTTGTAGTCTTATTTGGAGCATTAACAAAACTAAAAAAAATGTTTATGTAAGGAAGCATGACAAGAGAACAACTGACATTCAATAAATAAAGATTTCATGAAAATCAAACCATAGAAGTTTTATGATAATTACATTGAAGAGTGCCTTACACGAATACAGTATTACAAAGACTACAAGTCATCAAGGAAGCTTAATCAATTGAACTATTTATGAAGCTATACAAAACAGAATTGAAGGATTTGTATAAAGGCTGACCTAATGAATATTGGTTTTGATGGATATTGGAGGATGGACGTAGGCCATGGTTCCTGGTGATACCATGATCAAACCTTAGTGTTCACTTAAGCCGGAATTCCACTGAGGCAACACTGAACCACATGTTGCTTGATACTTGTTTCCTAGTGTTGCCTATAGTAGCCGTTCGACTATATGGCACAAAATTCAATTAATGTCGCATGCGGAATTTGTTGCTTCACATCGCATGCGTTTTGTCGTACACTTGTGTAGCATGCGACTAAAGCAATTCCATTCAGGTAACTTCAGTTTGGTACATTATGTCATTACTAACAGTCGCGGCAGCTGCATATTTGGAAATCACTTTGAATCATAAAAGAAAAAGAAAAATACTATAATATAGGAAAAGAAAACTATAAATCGATTGTCAAGAAAATCGGTATAATTTAATATTTTACACTTGAAGAGTAGTGTAAAATTTATTTTAGTCCGAGAGTCAGTGAGAAAAAATTGACATTACTTGATTAAAACTTTAAAAAGATTTTAAAAAAATATTTATTACATTTATATTCTAAAAATGACCAAAATTACACCACAAATAGTCATGGATCTCCCCAAGGTAAAACACTCATTATCCAGAGGTAAAGTAGTCTCCCGTTCAGATCCCTGGGTTGGGACTGTTTTAGGGAATTCATGGCGTAAGTTGAAAAATAGGGATTTAAGTATTGGCACGTGGAACATAAAGAGTTTGAATTCAGCAGGTGGGTTAAAATAGCGAATGAGGTTAATGGGTACAATTTGAATGTCATGGCTCTGCAAGAGCTTCGCTGGCCAAGAGAGGGCTCGATGAGGGAAGGAAAGTACACTATTTGGTACGGAGGAAGCGGAAATCATTATTTGGGTACCAGGTTTCTTATTAGGAATAGATTGCTATCCGCTTTTAGGGATGTATGATTCTTTAGTGATAGAATTTTGGTAGCTATATTTCAGAGACGTTGGTTTAAAATCGCATTAATAAACAACATACATTGTCCGACCGAAGACAGTGACAATGAAGTCAAATGCAAATTTTACAATAAACTCGAATAGGTTTATGATAAACTAGAGTGAAACTACATGAAAATAACTATAGGTGATGCAATCACAAAGGTGGGAAGGGAAGAAGTTTATGTTCCGACGATTGGTAAAGAAAGTTTGCACTAATATAGTAATGATAATGGGATCTGTCTGATAAACTTTGCCATCTCGAAAAACCTGATAATTATAAGTGCTACGATTAAACATAAGGATATTCATAAATATACTTGGACATCACTGGATTCTCAAACAAGAAACCAAATTGATCATGTCTTGATACAACATAGCTGGCAAAGCAGTATAATTAATGTAAGATCTAATCGCGGAACAGAATGTGGGTCGGATCATGAATTAGTAATCGCGAAACCTCGACAAAAATTAAATATATAAAATAATATATACAAGATATAAGAAAACCCTTTCGATTTTGAGAATTTTAATTTTAATTTGAAAAATTCCATCAATTAGAACCCGATTTGAGCTACATGTTAAGAATAGGTTTGAAGCTTTAGAGCTTTCTGATGATATTAAAAAGTTATGGGTAGAGATCAGGGATAATATTAAAGTGGTCGGTAATTTGTGTCTAGGAAAAAAGGAAAATAAGAATAACAAACCGTGGTTTGATTAAGATTGCTTATACATGAGCGAAAAAAGAAAAGCTGCTAAATTAAAAGCTATAAATAATCTTAACGAAGACAATCTGGAATACTTCCGAACCTCAAAGAATGAAACGACAAAATTGCTCAAAAATAAAAAAAGGGAATATCTTAAAAATAAAATAATTGAATTAGAAACTAATAGAATTGAAATAACGTAAGAGACATGTACAAAGGTCACGTAAATGTTTAGGGTCACTTCTGGAATTAGGGATGAAAAAAAAATATTCTGACCGATCTGGTAGATATATTAAATAAGTTTAAGAGCCACTTTGACAATATTTTAAATACGGGAAATTATGATCTGTGTCCTCCTTCTGAGTACCACAGTTCTGAACCATTTATTTTTTTAGCTTGTATATAAGGGTTCAGAGATGTAAAAAACAGAATAATGAGGTATAAAAATACATATATATTTCATGAAGAAATAACGAATCAAGATTCGAGAAATATAATTGATTTATATTAAAACTGTTAGTACTCAGTGGACGCAGAATTTGATGCTCTATAACTTTTATTGTATGAGTATTTCTCTTGGAGAACTCATTCTCAAGCTGCAGCGCCATTAATAGTAATGTCTGTTTTTCACGAATTTGGTAAAATTTAGTGTTACCACTTTACTAAATTATTAAGTTTAGTTACTCGTTCAACTCACAATTTAACTTAATTTAATTTATGAAAAAAAAAGGTTTTTCGCTTTGCTGCCCCATTTAGGAACTATAGATGAAAAAAACAAAAAAAGGTAAAAACAATTTGGCTTTTTTGGCTAAAAAGTTTTTCCTTGGTGGCACGCATGAGCAATTTTGTTTTAACATGCCTCAGCCAATATATACAAGTTAAAAAAATAAAAACTTTTCTCACATTTTTCGCAATGAATTTCCCATTTCGATCCTCAAGTTACTGGCCTAATATTCACTAAATCAGTCGCTATTTTTACTGGAAGTAAGATCCGACTGGCAAACTCTCATTTTTAAAATAAATTTGTTATAAATATTAATTTTTTTTTAAAGTTTCATCAAATTATGTAGATTTTTTCTCATGGGCTCACGGATTATTTGGGTTGCTAGCAAGTGTATTTTGTGTCATCACTGATCTTCATCATCGTGTCATCACCTAAACATTCAGCAGTTGACAATATTGGTTTGGGTACATCGACATCCAATAACAAATTCAGTAGCTCATAAGCAAACTATTTCCCGATTTTGCTAGGATATGAGCCACTTACTTCTTGCTGAAGTTTTTTGCACTTGCGATAAAATGCTGACTGGCCAAAATAAAACAATAATAAAAAAGAGAAAGTAAAGAAAATATTAGTCAAAAGATGTAGTATTTTAATTATGTTCTATTTTGTTATTCTAAAGGGACTTTGTCCCAGAATAAAGTTATTTTCTTTTTCTATTTCTATATAATTGATGCGGCTGGAAAAGTGGCACTGGGATCTCTGGAGTCCTGCTTTGCTTTCCACATGTGGGGAGAGAAGCCTGGCTCGGAGATTCCTGGGCAAATGTATATATTGTATATAGGTATGAATGTGTTTAGAAGTTGTTATTTTATTTTGTTTGTTTATTTATTTTTTTTTTAATTTTATTTATTAATTTATTTTTTTTCCTATTGATTTACTTTTTTTTATAAGTATTATTTATTTACTTCTTATATTTATAGTTACTTCTGTATTACTTGTATATACTGTATGAATGAGAAATTCTAGCCTTAATACTTATAGCCCTCCAACAGTGGCTGATTGTATTATTATTCAATAAAAAAAAAAAAAAAAAAAAAAAAAAATTTCTATATATTATATATTCCTTCTCATTCCCTCACACATTGTCATCTAAAGGAGTAAATATAGGGTGATGTCTACTACACTATGATGGTAAGATAACAATTAGATTTATAATCCAAATCAAACACCTTTGTAATGTGTTGTTACTTAAATTCTCTAAAGAATTCATCTTTATTGAAACAAAACATTTATACAATATCGTGCTTTTAAAAATCTTGAAGCATTGTTTCCACTAGGTAAGCTGTATTGTTTATTTTTTAATAATAAGTCAAAATAGCAATAAGAAAACTGAAGTACAACATAACTCAATAATATTCTCAGTGAAGTAACCCCAATATGTGGAAAAACCGTATTTTCTAAAATAGAATTAGGACATTGAATAAGCTTTCAATTTTTTTGTTGTGAAAATTAATATTTTTAAAGTACAAAGTAAAAAACATACTACAAGCCACAACTTTCTTCCATCTTTCTGTCAGCATATGAATTCCATGTCAGAAAAATGACTCATCTTTTTATGGCTATCCAAGAATCTACCAATATCTCCGTAAGAATGTTGCTCAACCAGGCCCTGTGCCATCGAATGAAATAAGTATTAATCAGAAGAGGCTACATCCAGTGAACAAAAGGGGTGGGGTAGGACTTTCAATTTAAGTATTTCCAGGTAGGCTTTAACTGGTTGGTTTTGCAACATATGGCCGAGCATTGCCATGAACTTATTAAGCTCCTAATACATTCAAATAAAAAGATTAGAGAAGTCTATTGTTTGTTGCACAGGGAAGACTGCTATTAGAAGTTTCACTTTATTAGTTCTCCACTATGCTAGGGATGGAATATCGAAAGCCCGATGTCGATATTGTCATCGATAGAAATAACAGCCTATAACTGCCGATAACATCAAAATATCGGACTTGAAATATTGATACTACCGAGAGTCAATATTTTCATCAATACTACGAACATTTTGAAAAAAACAGTAATTATGAAATATAAATATCAATATATTGAAGAGAAGTTGGTTGCGATGTTCAGTCAAAAATAAATAAATTAAAAATAAATATCATTTATTTATTTTTGATTAAACAGGGCAACCCACTTCTCTTCAATTATTTACTACAGTCTACCATCATGCCACTATTAAAATATCAATATAAATATTGATTCTCTAGCACATGGGCGCATCAAAAAAGATGTTATTTTCTTCTTTAAATTAATTAATGGAAATATCAATTCTTCTACACTCCTTAGTAAAATTAAATTCCTGGTTCCTGGCTATCTTTGTCATCCTCAGTTTTTTTCCATTCAACCAACTGTACCTTTTGTTCACCCATAGATCGACTTCAGCCAAATGCTAATTTATTTGCATTCCACATAGATTTCTTTCATAATTCGTGGCCTTGGTTTGAAAAGATTCTAACGAATTTGGACAAATTGAGTTTACACTCAGAAATCACTCACAACAAAGTTATCTATGTTCCAAATGAAAGAATTTAAGTGCAGGTCCTATGGTTATAAGTTTATAGCACAAGTGCACTATTCAACTCTCCTATGCGCTACTCTCTATGAGAGAACAGACAAGAGGAGTATAATTTTTTTTCTAACAATTAGACTCATATAGAATCCATAGAGCTTTTTGAAAACAATAGTTTAAATTTTTATTTTTAAATTAAAATATAGTACGGATACTATCGAAGTAGATGCCATCGATAGTAAAATATTGAATATAGGAAGAAAAATATTGATATTTTGATATTATCAACTACCGATGGCCATCCCTACACCATGCTAATGAATTATTTAAAAAAAATATAATGAAAAAAAAGAAGTAAAATAATAATTTAGTTCATTCAAGTACTATTTAAGATCAAAAATGTCTCATAATACCTTAAAGGCTATAGTTTCATAAGGTTCAGCAGCAAATAGAAGATATTGCCATTTCCTATCTGGAGGTTCCACTCTTTGTTCATAAGCTGACATGAAACGATGCCTAGGTAAGATTCCTTCTGCAATTTCTATAAAAAAAAAAAATAAAAAAGCTAAAGTATTTCCAAAATGATATAGGTAGGTAATTAGGTGAATACTACAATGAGGTCACTATAATTCAGCTATTCCAAGGAAACACAAATTAATATTGGTTTTTTTTTTTCATAATTTAGGGAAGATAAGAGGACTTGAATAACTGTCTTTTTACAAACATTTCTACAACCCTTCAAGTAATTAACAATTTTCCACCTGATGTTTTGAATGACTGGATATTAGAACTTAGCTAGTAATAGAATAGCATTTTTTCTGATGATTAATTGTCAGAAAGAAACCAATCCAAAAAATATTTCTGTGCCTTTATTGGTACATTTCAAAACTTTTAGTAATCTAGTTGTAGTACCTCTCCTACGACATGTTCTTATGACAAACTTATAGAGCTTTTACTTAGTTATATTGATTTTACCGATTGTTAACAGGTAATAATACAGCATAATAAAGTAAAGAAAATTATAAATAACGACAGGTGTTAGTTTTAAAATAATTCATACACTGAAAGTTAATAGTGTTAATAAATTTATCAGTAAAAATGTTTTTAATTTCAGAAAAAGAATAGACAAAGTTGACTCCAGAAAATAAAAATTAGCATATTGATACTTTATTTTAGAAAACATGTTAATTCTCAGTGTAAATAGAATTAGTACTAAGTGAGGTTTTGCAAGTACGTGTAAGTGTAGGTAAGGTGGATTAAGCAAATTGATGTATCTATAAGATTTTTGAGATGACCCATAAATAATAATAGAACATAACTTAAATACTTTTTCATTTCTTACCTGGATAATCTACTTGATAAAGAAGACTTTGCTGACCAGTTTCGGGATCTCTTTGTTTAGTGACTCGATAACCAGGTCTACCAATTTTGACAAATTTTTTTGGTTCTATTCTTGGTTTATCTGGAGCAGGCTATAAAATAAAAGTTTGTTATAATTTTTTTTTTTAAAAAGTATGAAACGGGATTTTCCATTTAACTAAGTAAGAACACTGTTTAGCTAACTAAGAAGAAAATTAAATTAATTAAACCTTCTTTAAATACCAGGTTTGTAAATATGAAAGCAGAATTCATTCATAGAGGACTCTACTTTTTAATGTACTTTTCATTAAACCACTACTGCTACCGTTATAAGACATGATAAAACATTATAACAAATTAATTTTTTTCAATGTTGTTTCGTTATCTTAATTACTGCATATATCTTCTTTTCCTATACACTGTATTTTCACTTATTAATGGGTCTTGCCATACTGTTTTGGCAACTATATAATGTTATTTTAATTTTATTCTTAAGGGACTTTGTTCCAAGATAATAAAGACATTTTTTTATTTTCTGATATGTCTTGCAGAAAATTGGTTCATTTGATCCAGGAAGATTCAAAAGCTTAACTAGAGATTGGACTGTTTCTTCAGAGATTCTACTTATGGATCTTCCTGTAACATTGCTAATCTATCTAAATCATTGGTAAGGTACAACGTTCGACACAAGATAGAGTGTCGGCTACCTGGTTTTCTATATTTACCTCCAAACGATGAGTAGTTATTTGCCACGGATCTGCAGAAGCTATCGAAGGAGAAATGGAGTGTACCTCTACTAAACAATTTATGCAACAGTGTTTCCTGCCAACTACTGCATATGTCTTAACAACTGCGATAGCTTTTCATCAACAAGTTGTTAACCTTCTAACAACATCTAGATATGGCTGATCTGTGAGTCAGCATATGTCTTGATTAGACATTCTCTAAGATCTTCATATGGTTTGGGCGAAGGATGTCTGACTAAATCAGCTGCCTGATGTAATTCATCCTTTTATACGCAATACATACTTAATTAAGGAAAGGAACTACTATTTGAAACTTGGTTGTACTATGCTTGTGATCGTACAAAAACAGCTTCAATTCGACAAAACCATAACTCAGATTCACACTGCCAAAAGAGTGGGGTCTTATGATTTGAGTAGTAAGCAGCTAACACATTGGGCTTCTCATCCGACCTAAGGAAAATGTTAAGATCTTCCTGTAGCATCTTGAAGAAAAATAAATCAAAATATAAGAAAACTTGCAAAACTGTTAAAGCCAGCCAATGATATTCAAAATTTCTTTGCCAAATAACTGTATATAACTTTATGTATGGTGTGAATGACTAAGACGTGGTATGATGACTGTCTTTAAGCTACACGAGGTCACCACATATTAACACCTGTATGTAGTGATAAAACATCTTAAGACTAATCAGTTTAAATAATAATTTTTCATAAACTTTTATTCCATTTTAACAATTCTTGTCAACACACATAATTTCCAGATCCGAGTGTCTTTAGAACTGCATACATTTGATATTTATAATAAATTAAAAAAAAAAATATTTTGTGATTTTTTTACTTTCTAGCCTCTCTTATATCTGTTCTTATTTCTTGACAATTCCCTGAAACTGTCATCTCTTAACTTTGTTATATAATCAATCTTGGAGATTTATTCTCCAATCTTCGATTTGTTCTTGATTCTGTCTAAGGCAGTTATTTAACTGAAGTGGTTGCTCCATGAAATCTTATCTTACTAATCAATTTAATACAAAAATACTTACTTGCTGTGGAGAATCTTTGGCTTCCTTGGCTGCTCTTCTTGCTAAGTTTGCTTGATGTTTTTTTCCTTGAGTGTGGGCTAAATAACTTCCCTCATTATTATGTAGGGTGAGACATAACTTACATTCGTAAGAACCTGAAACATGACCAAATTTAAATTAACTTATGAAAGAATTTCGACAAAATTATCTATAAAAAATTTCAATTTTTAACAAGAGTTACACACAGATGATCAAAATTTATTACCAATTTGTTTAACAAGAAAATAGGTAATTTTATAATAGCGATATAGCATGAAAAAATTGAAGAATCTCAAAGCTTAGAACTTTAAAATTTAAGCACTTCTTATCAATTTACTGCATTTAGTTGAAAACAAGATTGGGACAATTTAATTGTATATATGGTCAGTTTCTGGAAAGTTGTAAATTAGGACTTAAAAATGAATTTGAAATGTTAAGGAAATGTATTCCTGTTTGGTAATAAAACTTTTCACCAAATGCTTACACACTTACAATTTAACACAGCCACAAAATACAAAAATAAAAAAAAACATGAAACTACAGCAAAAAAGCAGTTATTTAAAAATTATAATAATAAAATTCACTAGATTAGATTATTATAAGTAATATCTAAAAAAAAATCATTAAAATTATTTTACATACAAAAAACATTAAATAAATTTTGATATATTTAAGAAGTATATCAGAAGTATTAGGATAGAAATTAAAAAATCCTAATTGATGATTTAAACATAATTCCCAATTATCTAGAGAATTCATAGCAGGTGGACACTTAAACAAACAAATTAAAAATAAAAACAAGAAAAAAAGTTTGAGAAATGAAAAGGACTCCAAGCATTAAGGCAATACACATGAAGGCAATACACTGTAAATGAAAACAGTGAATAAAGAATTTTTCATAATGATAGCAAAAACTTGAGATATTCTGTTCTACCTGCATTAGTTGGAGTATATAGAAGTGTTAAAACCAAAACAAACAAAGTTTAATATATATATCAAACATGTCTACAAATTTATGATCCCGACCATATATAGGTAGCAATCATCATCATCATCATCAACAGCAACACTTTTGAATCAAGTAAGTAATACTATAATTCATTTTCTGAGTTAAAACTATCAAGTCGTGGAATTAATTCTTTTGTCAGCTTGACTGGTTGCTAAAATTTTTAATACACACAATACTACTAGTAAGATATCTTCGACAATACTACACACACAAGTTTAATAGATCTAAGACAACATAAGATAAAACAGCACTATTGACACTTCAACATAGTAGCTAGACAAGATTATTTCCATCAAACTACAGTGTGAAGAAAAGAATGGCTGAATGTTAACTTCTCTGTTCACCAGCAAAAATTCCATTTATGAATATTAAAACTTTGGTGAGCTTAAAACAAAACCACAAAGAATCCTTTTCACTTGAGGTCAGGGTTTTTGATTAGCCTCCTATTTACTTTGATTAGCTTTATTCATTTGTTTTCTCAATTGAATAACATTATTTTAATTAAATTTCTAACTTCATAATTATTGTAATTCATAGTAAGTGCGCTTAAAAAAACAAAAATGTCCAGGGATTCGTGATTATTGTGGGTTTGAGAAATAAAAATTTGTTTTCTTTTGACAATCATTGTATAATATAGTTTAACTTTTAATTATTTATTTGAGATAATTTAGTGGGTCATAATAATCATTGGTTTGAGAAATGAAGTTATGTTTATTTTGGTATTCAGTTCATAACATGACCTGAATGTTGGTAACACAGGTCTAAAAAAAGACAATAAGGTTTTTTAAGATTTTAGGAATGATGATTTAAACATATTACTATTTTAATACCAAATATTGGTCCAAGCAAAAGAAAGAACTTTTCCACACAATACATACAACATACCCAAATGATTTTTCATAAAATAGGGATCTTTGTTTATATCAATTGTTTCGAGAGCTAGTTGCCTTAGCCTCTCTCTTCGGTCTCGATTTGTCTCTGACCATGATGCAACACCACCACTTCCAGTTTTACCTCCAGGTCGATTTTGAAAATCCATTTTTAATGTTGTTCACTATAACAGACAACATATATATATATCACCATTTTGTGTTATCATAAAGTATAAACAGTACCTCAACGAATGAGGATCGTAACAGAATAAAAAGTTATAAATTTAAGTATGGAAGCTAACAAACCTTAAATAATTAAGAGGAATATATATGATAAAAAACATACCTTATGAGTAATATTAGATTCGGCACATTTAAGACATAAACAAAACCTTAACCTTACTGGTTACTCAGATTGGTACTCTACTTATAATCGATAAAACCATTATCTCATACATCGATTAGTATAGTTCGCAATTTTATTAATATATTGCTATTTTACCTTTTATTTGATAACTTTACAGTTTGTTACGTAAAGTTTTAACAGTGCATTAAAAAAGGTTTTGATTGAAATACTTCCTGGCATCTTTCTTGTCTATTGCTTTATCGATTGCCAGATTTACATTTTATGCCTTCGTGGGGCGCACGCTTAAAAACATTTAAATAACAATGACAATATTTAAGATGAATGAATCATTTTGTTTTATAAAGGTGAAAATGTGAATTTTCATTGACTGTTTTGAAAGTTATTTATGAAGATTAATATATAATCAAAGTTAGAATCGGTAATAATTTGTCCGAAAAATTTGAGGTCCGTTCGGGCTTAAAACAGGGGGATTCTCTTTCGCCTGTCCTGTTCAATTTGGCATTAGAACATGCCATTAGGGAGGTAATGCGAACCGAGAAAGGGTTGGATCTGGGCGGGACAACATCCGTGCTGGGCTATGCTGATGATCTGGTACTGTTAAGCGAAGACGTTGAAACTATAAAACTAAATACGACAACGTTAATGAAAGCCGGTAAAGAACTAGGACTCGAAATAAACGTGGATAAAACAAAATATATGGTTAGCTGCAAAAATGGCGATACTACTGGTGATATCGATATAGATGGTAATATGTTTGAACAGGTAGATAAATTTAGGTATCTAGGTTCTACGATAACTAGAAAAAACGAAATTGAAGAAGAGATTAAGGTTAGACTGAAGGCGGGAAATGCTTGTTATTTTTCTGTGACAAAACTACTTAGTTCGCGCCTCTTGTCCCGGAACTTAAAAATTAGAATCTATAAAACAATTATCTTGCCTACAGTTCTTTATGGATGCGAAACTTGGCCGCTTACATTAAGGGATGAGCAGCGTCTTAAGGTTTTTGAAAATAAAGTATTGCGTAGAATATTTGGTCCGAAGAAGGATGAGTTAACCGGAGAGTTCAGACGGTTACACAACGCCGAATTGCGTGAGCTGTATCCGGGTAATATAATTGAGGTAATTTCATCGCGACGAATCAAATGGGCTTGTAAAGTTGTTGGGCTTAGTAACGAGAGAATTCCTAAAAGGTTAATATTTGCTGTGCCGAATGGTAAGCGAAGGTGGGAAGATTGCATTAAAGCTGATCTGAAGGGACTGGGTTTGGACGGCGAACGGTGGAGGGAGGTGTGTAACAAGCGATTGGTGGTGTCGGCATCGAACCTTCGGGTTCGCTAAGCCTTATTATTATTAATATATAATCAGGATTTTCAAAACATAAATGAAAATCGTGATTATTTATCATCCTAGTTAGATTATCTTGAGGAAGATTGCCTCCAGTGCTGACATTTGATAACAGATGGATCTACGTGGGAGGAGAAGGTGTCTTTCGAGCTGAAGCTCCTCTCCTCTCAAAATGGTAAAATATTACCGTGTCTTAATAAAAAATTATCTCCAAAAGTATTATTGTTCGTGTAATTACATTTAATAGGACTTAAAAAATCATCATTAAAAAAAATATCGTATAAGTAGTTAGTTTATTTCTTTTTCTTCTAAAGTAGTTATCTTCATATTAAAAAAAAAAACCATTCGTTTTTAAAACCCCCAAAATAAAATCCTGGATCAGCTAGTGCATTTGGTGGCCTCGACAGTCACATCTTGAACGCCATCTGGTTCCAGAACAACCGATAAACTACCGACAATGAAAATTCCGGTAATACCGAAACTTTTTTAAAAATAAAAGTTTTTTTCCGTTTCAAGCCCTGCCGTGTTCTAATCCGGGGGTCTCCAAACTTTTTAGCGTGCCGACCACATTGAGACCTCAACTAAGTTCCGTGGACCGCATTGAGAGCTCCACTTAAGTCCCATGGGCCATGGCTTGTGATGAAAAAAAAAAGTTCTATAAATGACATATCAGCTGTGAAATGACATTTCTAAGAGAAAAAAAAACATCCAATAACCTTGAAGTGTGAGGAATTTGATAAATTTCATATTTTTAAATAGGTTTTAAAATTTTTACCATGAAATCAAATTGAAGATGCTTGCTGGCTGAATCCGGCCCGTGGGCCATAGTTTGGAGACTTCTGAGTTAGATAATTGTGTTTTCCATAGTTTGTGTTATGTCTAAATGCTCCTTGAAATTCATCGCGAAGTGTTAATATTTAAATATTTTAGTTAGATGCTAAAATTTAAATTTACAAGATTTTTTTTCATTACTAAATTACGCAACACAAAATTAAACAACGCATTCATCAAAAACAACTAGACTAAGTAAAAATGTCAATTTTATTAATTCATTTTGTCAGTTGGTAGAAGTGCTAATGTTGGCGGAATGAAGTAATTGGTGCCATGCTGAACTAACTTACTCATATTTGGTATCATATACTTTGTGTTAAACTTATGAATGTGATTTTAATTTTGTTTTCAAGTGTTACAAGTTTTTACTAGGCATAATTAAATTGTTTTTTTTATTTTTTACCTGTTAGTGACTTAGTGGAATAATTTTACTTTTGTGTGAGTAGAAGTGCTCATTTTTCAACATAAGTATACCCAACGCTCTCAAACTCTGGTAAGGAAATATCTTATACTTAATATGCCTGCAATTATATATTTTATTATCTCTTTATAATAATTTTAAATAATATTAACAATAATTTTAGTGTTATAACTAACCAAATGATATTGAATGAGTTCATTATTTGTTTCAAGTTATTTTAATAACATTATTCTTTATTCATAAGGTAGGTGAGCATCTATTTTTATGTGTATTTTTATTTAAATTTAATTGATATCAATGGATATGGCTAACGTTTACATATGCTTCTGTTACCGTTCTTTGGATTTTACTTATATTTTTTTGTAACTTAGATATAATTTGTTTTTTTTCCATTTCTTTCATGGATGCTGTTTCTTTTATTATATTAAATGTACATTATATTTTTCTGTGTTGTTTATGAAGTCATTTAAATCCCAGGATTCATAATGTTAACTGAATGCTAAAACACCGGTTATGTGTCCAAGTTCTGAGTGATAATATATAAAAATAAGTATACAGATTATTTAAATCTTTATTCATAATTTTTGGTTTATTTCACTAGAAATAATTATTTAAAAAAAAAATTAAGGGAAAATAACCCTAAAATCTATATATTTAGTCGTCCTAACATTAAGCTTTATTCGTTGGTTGTTTAGTAATTTGGTTAATGTTGTATATTTTCTTCTTGGAGCAGGAATAATTTTTTGAGATAGTATAATATGAAGTTATCACTGCTTACAGTGCAAGCCTTAGAACACTATAAATAAAAGGCATTGAATAAGTACACAGTGAAAAAGAACACAGCCTAAATTATTTGAATGCACAAACTATATCAATTCATTCATATTCTGTGAACTATTTAAATAGCAGTGTTAAAATGTTTATAATTCTTCTAGATCAAGTTAAAATTATAATATTTTAATCAAAACTATTGTAATTATATTATTGTGACCTTTTTTTTTTATATATATACATCATTAAAAAGTAATATACTTAATTAATATTTTTGTCCTGTTCAATAAGTCTCGGAAATATCTTACCCATCTTTCTAAGACTTCTTTACTATTTCCCAATAACCTTCCTTCTTCATCCTTATAAAATGCAGGCTTTGGTGTACACCCTACCTTCGAAGTTTATATAAAACTTTCTGCTGTTCATTTGATCAAATTCTTCTTGTATCTGTTCTAGTTCCTCTCTCTCTTAGCATTCATTTTCCTCCTACATATTCCTCTTGTCTCTGCTCTTTTCCTTTTATAGCTCTCTTTTGAGGTTCTTGTTACTCTTTGTACCAACGTCATTCTGGCATCATTCCTTTTTTTGACTGCTGTTTCACATTCCTTGCCATACCAGTCTTTTCTGCTGTCGCACCAAGAACCTCAGTTGCCACATTCTTCAATGTATCTTTAACATTCCCCAGTTCTCTTTGACTCTGTTCTTTCTGAGTTTTCAAACCTTTCCTTAATTTTCCTTCTAAATCGAGTCTCTTAAACTTATAGCTTTTCTCGATTGTAATTCATTTTTCTCTCTCCTTGGGCTCTGTGGTATAAGGCTACATTCACTTTATACCTAGCCTTAACTTAGACTATGGTAATTGTTCAGAATCAGTATACCCACATGTTTCCATCTTATTTCCTGTAGGTCTACGATATCCATTTTATATTTAGACTATGGTAATTGTTCAGAATCACTATACCCACATGTTTCCATATTATTTTCTGTAGGTCTATGATATCCATTTTATATTTCCAGAGCTCCTTTTTTAACATCCTACTCACTCCTGGCTGAAGCATACTTCTAATGTTTCATGTTGCGATATGTAAGTCCATTTCCAAGTTTGGATCGTAACCTTAAATCAGTCCTGCTATTTTACTTTGTGTGTTCGTAACAAGATGCTTTTTATGAGACCGGGTTGTCAGCCCAGCCCCCGGCTCCTAACCTGGAGGACCAGGATATTTTGTCAGGGTTTCCTCCCTTAGTCTCTGAACTTTCGTTCTAACCCATAAGATGATGGGAGATTAAGAAATTAAGGAGTACAGGAAAACTATAAGAAGGACCATTGGAAGGAATGTGTAGGATGAAGTTATGAGGTAAAAGGACGTTATCCTTTTAGTCACCTTTTATGACAAGTAGTAAATACTGTTCTACTCTACATCCGAGCCTACAGGGGATCGGGTTTGGATACGCTGCATCTTAATACTACTCGTCAATCGAAATGTGATGTTATCGTTAACGAAATATGAGAATTTTCTATAGGTAGTTATGCAATGTTTTACAGCAAGAACCACTAAAAGGAAATAAATAAAACCTTTTTTTTGTCAATGAGGATTACATGAAAGAAACTACTTTAGAAGTACAAATAAGAAAAAGGTCTCACTAATCTCAATTACTAAAACTTATTTATTCATTAACAAGCCAAATTTTTTCCCATTCAGTAATCATTGGGTTAGTTTGTACTTATGTCAATTTTTTATGATGGTGTCTATTTTGAGAATCCTGGTGTGTATTGTTGGACACACATTGTCCCAATGATGCCTTAATAGTAGAAAATTTAGCTTTTTTGTGAACTGAACTGGGCGGTATTTCAAATAAAATATTTCAAAATACAAAATAAAATACATTTCAAGTATTTTGCATTTTAAAAAGTAAAATAATAAAATAGATTGTTTGTAACTATATTATTTTCTTATTAAAATAAAAATTTAAAAGAAGTATTCATATGTTCTTTCCAAGACAATAAGATACAAAAAATTTATTATGTTATGTATTTTAAATACACAAAATAAATGACTATATTTAGTAGATTCTCCTTGAAATTTTGTAATGAAAATTGTTTGCTTGAGGATTCTTCCTGTGAAAATCGAGGTTAGAAACTTATTAAGGTCGATTTTATTAAATTATCTTTGTAATCAAATTAATTAGCCTTAAAAAAAATTAAGCACGACGGCCTTATAACTGAATAAATGAATAAAAGTGGGCCAACAGATGTTTAGTGCAGAAAAACATCTTTTTATTCATTAATTATATTTCCTAGTACATTATATTATTAATTAATAAAAATATATTATTAATTAATATAATTAACTGTTCCAAAATTTTGGAGTCTTTCACATCATCGAAAAATAATAAATTACTAAAATGTTTTTTTGGAATACTTACTTAATAATATAATATATGAAGTTATTTTTTCTTTTTTCTTTGTGTTTGTGTAATTTGGAAATCATTTTTTAAAAAAAAATAAAAAATGGTTTTATTTTCTTTAAGATCAACATATAAACCATGTAGAAACTAGTGGAAATATAATTAATGATTTGGGTATGTTCAGCTTGGTGTAGAACAGGGGTCTCCTAACTATGGCCCACAAAAGTTTTTTTTATTACATAATAACATTTTAAAAGCTATTTAAAAAATGTAATATTTAGAAAATTACTCACACAAGAGGTTACTACAGCATTTATTGCATTTTTTTTTCTCTTATAAAGCTTATTTCACTACCTGAAGGGTCATTAATATAACAAGATTTTTTTTTCATCTCAAGCCATGGCCTGTGGGACTTAGGTGGAGGTCTCAATGCAGGCCGTGGGACTTTCAGAACGTCTCAATGTGCCCTGCGGGACAAATATTTTGGATATCCCTAGTCTAGACCTTTGGGGCATAGTGTAGGATTCAGGGTAGCCTTCAGGCTAAAAGGTTTAGAGATCACTGTTCCAGACCATTATTATGCCTTTAGGTCTCAATGAATAAGAAATATAGCCAAATTACTTTGAAGGATATATTCATTTTTGCTGAGTTGATATTCACATAGTCTACACAGTACTGCTCTGCTGTCCTAATAAAATTGTTAGCCTTCATTTTAGTATTACTGCTAGTATGGCTTAGCTTTGCCTCTTTAAGCTAATTCATTTATGATTAATACCAAAAAATATTTCACTGCATCATTTTTGAAATAAAAATAAAATATTTCATTTACAAGTTTTATAAACCATTGGTTTTATGGACATTAATAAGATACATTATCTGATTAAACAAATATCTTTCATTTTATTTTACAAAATTTTACTTAATAATGAAATTTTCAGCATCAATGATTTTGAATACTATATCTCTATACTTTAATAAGTTATTTTTCCTGTTTTTTCCACTTGTATAAAAAAGTTTAAATAAAACATCTGGGCAAGGAGGTGTCACATTTCCTACTTTTTCAAGATCTCTGAAATACTGATATACATAATCTGAAATCATATGGAATTTATTTTCAGAATAACCTCTAGAAATTTGAACTTTTTCCCAGCTCTTCATATCTTCCAACATTTCTTCCCTTGGTGGAAGATTGGCGATACCAGTCAAGGCGTTTAGCGCGCATCTTGCCTAAAATTATTTTTTCATTAACATATAAATTTTAATATTCCAATGATTTTATAAAGTTCAAATCTAATATCTAATGCATTACATCTGTAGATTGGAACAAATAGGCCAAGGACCAAAATTTAGAAATTGATCAATTCTTACTATCAAGATTACCTTGGCTCTTTAACAATTGTTGTATATCCTACCCTGATTTTTTAATGCAGTTCACTGAAGTATCAATATTTTGGACTTTGCCCCTTTTTGTTTTAAGGTATGTTAATGTAATACAAATAAATAAATAATAATCTATTAAATAAATACCAAATGTGATATTACCTGTATTTCAAACATACGAATCACAAATGCCATGAATGGAATCCCAATAAAGATCATGGTCGGGTGTGTTATTGAAAATACTTGTTTGTACAACGGTGAAACATAATTATTATAAACTTTGATTCCACAACTCTCATCAAGAAATGGAAAGCTATATTTGTATCCTGGAAAAAGAAATCTGCTTATTCTACCAGTAAATATTTATAATGGGTTGAGTAACAAAAATAGTTACTCATTTTAAATTACATTTTGTTTTTTCTCAGGATGCTATAGTTTCAATTTTTTTTTCTAATGTATTAAATCTAACTAATGTATGTATTGCCATATGAAGAATTCATTTCCGTGTGAAAAAAAAAGAAAAATTTTCTGTAAAAACCATTAGCCCAGTAATCTTGTACATGGTAAGTTTCATTAAATGGGAGTAGAAGATTTCTTTTTATTTTCTTGTATGGGATACGACTGAGATGTAAAATACAAGTTTTCGACCTCACTGCCCCCCCCCCCCCCAGATCACTTTTGAATATCCCAAAATATTTTCGCACTTTTTTGTTTTTTCCCATTTTATCCACGAAACCTTCTCTGTCAGACAAATGCTGGAGAAAGCGTATGAATATAATATAGACCTGCATCACCTATTCATTGACTTCCGGTAGGCTTATGACAGTGTGAACAGGGTTAAGCTATTGGAAGCCTTACAGTCACTGGGGATTTCTAGTAAACTAATAAGATTGACCAGAATGACCATAGAAAGCTGTATGATCAAAACCAGAGTGGGTATGTCAGATAGTTTTGAGGTTAACAGTGGCTTAAGACAGGGGGACCCATTATCTCCTGTACTATTCAATTTCGCTTTAGAGGTTGCAATTTGGAAAATCAAGATGAACCCTGGTGGTACCATCTATAATAGGCTCACACAACACATGGCATATGCTAATGACGTTGTTATATTAGGAAAAACTAAAGCAGCACTAGCCGGCGCTATAGAAGAGTTGAAGCATGCAGCTCAAGAGTTAGGACTCATAAGCATGTAAAAGACAAGGTATATGAAAACATCCCGACATACCGGAGAGAGAGGAGATACTGTTGAATTGGGAGAAGACCATGTTTCGCAACTGTGATAAATTTAAATACTTGGGCGGAGTAGTGACTGAAAACAATAATATAGAAGCAGAAATAAAAAGCAGGATGGTTGCAGGAACTAGATGTTCCTATACAAGGCGTTCAAAAGGCATTCCGATACAAAAGTCTGTCCGGGAAGGCAAAAATAGTAATATATAAAACGGTGATTAGACTGGTTGTTTTGTATGGCAGTGAGACGTGGACTATGACCAAGGAAAACAGGAGAGCCTTGCTGGTGTGGGAAAGAAGAGTCCTAAGGAAGATCTTTGGAGCTGTCAGAGAGCAGCATACATGGAGAATAAGAAGCAACACAGAGTTAATGCAGTTATATGGAGAGCCAGACATCCTTAGTGTCATTAAGAAGGGCAGTCTAAGATGGCGGGTTCATGTTGAAAGAATGGATCTCAGTAGACTTCCAAAAATGATGCTGAATGGTACTCCAGGAAGGAAAAGACAAAGACGTAGACCCAGACACCGATCGTTGGATGATCTGGATGAGAGAATATGAGCCAGCCCCCCACCCATGCACTCTCCCCCCTCACCACTATAAATTGCATATCGTTGTGTTCCTTGTATTTTTTTTATTTTATTGTTTCTTTGATTTCCTTTATTTGTAAAAGAAAATGATTTCTTGTACAAATAATTCAAAATATTTACGAAATATATCTTCATGTGAGTCGTTTTCCGCACTTCATAATAAAGCTTGCATTTTAAATAATAACTCTCATTATAATAAATATAGGCAATCTGATATTAGATACATAATTTTACTTCGTTTATGAATCAATTATTAATATATATATATATTATTAACTAATAATATATTAATTATATACAATTATTAATATATATATATATATATATATATATATATATATATATATTAATAATTGATTCATAAACGAAGTAAAATATATATATATATATATATATATATATATATATATATATATATATATATATATATATATATATATATATATATATATAAATATAAATATAAATATATATAGACACACACACACACATATATATGTATACAGATTTACATACATACATATGCATATCACACAATACAAAATAAATAAAAACCACAAAAACTCATAATAACAACAAGCAAACATTAACCGAATCAATACCCTAATGGCAAAAACACTGTTAATAACCATTCAATTGGTAAGGAAGGGATGGTATCATTTCGGGAATAGAGTACATATTGGCACTAGCGGATCCAGGATCTCATTTTGGGGGGGACTTCAGCCCAAAAGCTTTTTTTTCCATATATATATATTTATATATAACGATAACTACTCTAAAAAAAAAAGAAAGATACTATCTACATATATGAAATGGTGTTTATGTGATTTTTGAAGTCCTATTAAATTTAATTACAGGAACAATAATAGTTTAAGAGATATTTTTTACCATAAAACATGGTTACATTTTACATTTTGGAGGGGCTTCAGCCCGAAAGCCCCCCCTGTAGATCCGCCAGTGCATATTGACTACGGATTATAAAAATAAATATATATTGTTCACTTTCTCGATACTGTCTATATTGAGGGTGATCTCTACATTAACATAAGGAGGTGATTCGGATATATATTGCTGCAGGTATCTCTCTCTAAGTACTTTGGATGATGTGCACTGAAGAAGATGGTGTAGGCTGTTAAATATCTATTGTTTCACTGCAGATTTTTTCATCTTGTATGATGTAAGATTTATTTTGCAGAAATATACTTATGGTGTGTGAGTTCGAGATTCTTAAACGGCTGAAAATCCGCGTTTTGTATATACAAGTATTAAAAATTAAATATTCTTCAGGAGTAAAATCTAGACGGCTGGGAGTTCTGTAGACTGGGTTATTATTTGAATTCAGAGCTCTGTTGATGTCTTGAGACAAGATTATTTTCCATTTTTTCTATAATGGTCTTATGGTTTTGCATTCCTGTTTTCTAGATCTCGTTTAGTTCATTGAGACTATTAGTTGCTGTGGCCAGATTGTGAATTTGTAAGACCCAGTTAAAATCAATGGCAACTTCTTGCATACTTCTCAGTCTATTGAAGCACATTCTTGGATATCTGTTCCCTGGTAGCGTTGAAAGTCTTATCCAGAGGTTGACTACTTGTTTTATTATCATAATTCTCAGAGGACCGTCCAGTCTCCAATCTAACTATATAATTCGGTACACTTTTAGGCCAAAGGAGGAAAGTTTTGAGAAATTTTAACTGGATGACTTTGAGTGCATCTAACTACCTCAAACTCCATATCTCGGCAGCATAAAGCAATATATTTAAAACCATTTATAAATAACCTACTGAAAGTTAAATGTAAAATAAAGATGTTTTGGCGGGAATAGTGAATAGCCTTCCGCTTTTATATCGGGGATTAAGGTTATTTACACTCGTGAATTATTAAAACAAAACCCCGGTACTGGATATCGACTTTTTGAGGGTGTTTAACTGTGATTAGGAATTCGGGGATCTATTACCTTTTGTGACACTGTGTGAGAAGAAACAATAAGAATATATATATATATATATATATATATATATATATATATATATATATATATATATATATATGAAATGTGGGACTTAGTAAATACACTTTGAATGAATTGACTCACCTGGTTTGTTATTCTTCAATCGTGAGCCATATAGGACAACTAAATAAAATGACTTTCACTCCTGCATAATAAAACAATTTTATTTTAACAATTGATAATGAATATATAAGTGAACGGTCGGCTTGATATTCTTGGTCTTCAATGTAGTAAGCCTCTCTTCCCAGATTACTTCCTCTCGCTTCCACCCTTTTGCCTCAAGTGTTTGGTGTCCTCTTCACCATCTATTCCCAGCTACCTGATCAGACCTTTTTCTTCTTTTCGATTGTTTATCGATATGAGATTTTCCAATGAGCAATTTGTCCACTGCACAATTGAGTACAATTCACAGTGCAACCTCACATTCCTGTATATTATATATTCCATCTCATTCCCTCACACAATGTCGTCTAAAGGAGTAAATACAGGGTGATGTCTACTACACATTGAATCAAACAATGTCATTTTTGCCAAGCATCACTCTTTCCTTTTTTAAAGAGTTTTAGTACCCTGCCACTTGCCACGAATGACCTTTGAATAAAATATTTAGATGATTTATGGAATTTCCCAGGAGATGAGAATGGCACCCCTAGATAAGTATAGCTGTTAGTGTATTCTAGTTGAGAATTCTGCCAATAGAGAGGTTTCAGTGTCTTAGTTTTGGGAGACTTGTGGAATACAACTGCTTTTGATTTTGCTGGGTTTAATGTTAAGTGGCTGATCCTGCTGTATTGTTGGAGAACCCTCAGTTTCTTTTGCGGACCATGTCAGGTAGTCTCAAGAAGGACAATATCATCTGCAAACCACAACATTGTTACTTCATGGTCTTTATCCATGGAAATATCCTTAGCCCCATTGTCAATGAAATAAGCTATAATATGTGAAATAAATAATATGAAGAGCGCTGGACTGAGACACTCTCCTTGTAACAAGCCAGATTACTTTTATTTCTTTTGATAAAGCCACTCTCTTTTTGATCTTTATCACCACGTTATCATAAAGCGCTTTCAACAGTCTGATGAATTTTCCACTAACGCCAATACTAAACAGTTTTTTCCAAAGGAGGTTATGATTTATAGAATCAAAGGTTTTTTTGAAATCTATAAATATTTCGTATACGTAGCTGCCTTTCATCCTCAAGTTAATGTGAATAAGTGACATAAGTGTAAAATATGGTCCACAAAACCCCTACCAGCTCTAAACCCTGCCTGCTCTTCAGGTATTATGTTCTCTGATTCAGCCCATAACATTAGCCTATTAGTTAAGATACTTGTGAATAGTTTAGTGACTGAGTTTACTAGTGATATTCCACTATAGTTTTCGAGATTGTTCCTTGTAACTATATATTAAAAAATAAAGTCAGTGTTTCCTCCAAAAAAAAGTGGTCGCAATGTCCCAAAATGGCGTCCAACCATGGCAGATTGACGACTTTGACTTTAGTTAGTTTTTCAGTTACTGAGGTTCAGCAGTTAGCTTGATTTCATCATAATTTGTCTTTCATTAAAGCTGGATAGTCTGACAATGATAAAATATAAAAAAAAAAAATAATAATTGGCAATAAAAAATATCAGTAATGTCAATTTTTCAAATCATTCAAACTAAAGTTGAAAATCAAGCGTCATTTGTAGTTAAACGGCCAACATTAACGAAAAAGGCCTTAAAATAAAACATCTAGAGAATACATTTATCTTTCTAAACCAATGAATAATTTTTAACATATTTGAAACGTTCTTTAGGAACTGCACTTAATAAGCAGAAAAGTGGTACTGGCATAGATGTGCCTACAATCCTCTGCCACCTCATTCGGTTCTCATAAATGGCATAGTTATAGCGAGTGCTACTCTCTTCACCTGTCTTTTTTTTTTTTAAAGTTTTGAAAGTTTCATTCAGTTCATTTACAATTTTCGTATGCCCTTAATGTAAATTTTTGTTAAATAATCTTTTTATTTCAATTTTGGATGTGAAAAGTGATCTCCCACTCTCCCACCAAACGTTCTCCCCTCCCTCCCCCCTTCTTCAAAATATTAAAATGAATAAAAATTGACTCCCCCGAATCATATAAGACAGATTATTTAAGATATAAAGATAATTGCATATGATCAAACATGAAAAATAGCTTAAAATTTTCAAGTTCCACAAATATCCAAAATTTTGAAAACCTGTACCTCAAATCTTATTAAATTTATTAAACTTATCAAACCTGTTTTGGTTTTAAATTTTAGTATGTTTTATATACTTCAAAAATTTATATCACGCTTTTTGTCAAAATGTGCTCCTTCATGGTCAAAATGGGGAAAAAACGAAAAAAGTGCGAAAATATTTTTTGGGATTTTCGAAAGTGATCCAGGGGGATGCATTTCTCTCATGAATCTTGCATTTCAGTCACATCCTATACAAGAAAAAATGAAAGAAACCTTCTACCCCCATTCAATACAACTTGGAGACCTTCCCTCTTCATGACAAGCTTGCTGGGCTACATGCATACATTCATAATTTAAGAAAACAGCTAAGCGCACATTGGCTATCGTTATTTTATTTCTCTTGCTTAAACTTTGTATCAGCCTTTTCAAAATATTAAAAAATCCAACTGTATGAAGATTAAAGATGGTGATTGTGAGATGGAAATTTTTTTGTTGCTCTGGTTTTTCTAAACTCCGTTAATTAGGGTAGCATACAGCCTAAAATATTTCTAGAAAAATATTTAAAAACGTTACATGTATCAAATTTTAAAATCTAATTCTAACATTTTTTTTTTGTGGAGAGGTTCTTTAATAATTGTTATTATTTTTTTTACACAAAGCGGGATAGACGCAATATATAATATAGATTTTAAAGAAATTAAAAATTTGTCCGAACTGTGGTTTTGTTTTGTTTATTATATGTTGATAAAAAATAATACAATCTGAGCTATAGAATACATGTAAATTACAGTTATACATTAATGAGGAATGCAATTAAATGAACAGTTGTATAATTTATAAATTGGTTGTTGGTCCGCCGTTAGGTGGACAGAGGGTGCACTCCTAGGTATTATTAAGATTGTGTTTTTACTTAATTGCTCTTAAACTGTTCCTACCTGTACAATATAAAATTGCATCAACTTCAGCATTGGTATCATCTTCAAAATATACAGTCTTCCCTTCTATTGCTTTTACGTCAGGTTTATGGATAATATCTTCTGGAAAAAGTTGTTTAATTTCTTCTGAACAGTGGTGACTTAGATAAATCTAATGGATTAAAAAAATAAATAATTATTTATAGAATAATATTAAAAAGTTGTTTGAATTGCGAAGTACCTGTTTTGAATTCGGATGAATGTTGAATGTTATATCTGTGGCAGAAGGACCCATGCCAATGACTAATACAATTTTATTATCAAATATATCTGGTGTTTTGTAATAATGACTGTGTAAAGATAGCCCTGTGAAAGATTCTTTAACTTCAACTTCTGGATAGTTTGGCAAACTATAATGGCTGTTAAAACTCATAATAAACAAAATGCACAATAAAATTAATTATAACTTAGAGAGTCATTCCTACAGTAGTATTAGGTAAACAGAAAGGTAAGAACGAAAATCTTATTGATAAATAAACTTATAAATATTGAATTTTTTCTTTAATCTGGTCAATATCATCATTAACAAATGACAAAACCACTAATGTTTCATCATATAATTGTTACACTTGAATGTAGGCAGAGTTGGGAGGTGAGGGACGTAATTGTAATTGCTTCAAGCTTTGATAATTACCATAGAATTATTTGAACGTTTGTGGACATTATTTTTTCCAAAAGTCTATATTTCAAGCTTTTATATGATTTAATATGTCTATGAATTACCATATGAAGAACTAAAAAAAAAAAAAAAAAAAAAAAGAGAGAGAGAGAGAAAATTCAAAGAAGGAGGAGGAATGAAAACAAATACTTATTTGGCTTAATTTAAAAAAAAAGTTTAGAAAAAGAAGTATGAAGCTACTTTTAAATATAGAGAGACTATAAAAGTTATGGAAAATGCTGAGGAATTTGTGGGCGTAAATACACCACCAAATTTCCTACAAAGACTCATCCATGCAGCAAATGAAAGAAATTGGCTAGCCAAAAAGATTGCAAAGCTAAGAAATACAAAATTAATGATATTTTAAAATTAAGAAATAAAAATAACAAATAGAAAAAAACATAAATGTTTAAAAAATGACAACCCTAAGACTGTCTTACTAGAACAATTATGTATAATTCCCTCATGACCGAGTAAGAAAAAATATATTGAAGCTGTATTGTTTAGGCAGTTTAAAAAAGTTTGCAAATCATTATTAATTTCAAGAAAAAAATAAATCACTGAAAACATATTTGATCCATTAGTATCAAAGAAAATAAATTATTATACACAAAATTTCAAAACTTCTGTTAAAAAAAAAATTGTAAGTGTTAAGTAAGTACTATTTTTTTTATAGAGAAATTGAGTATAAGAGAACTATACGCTGAATATATTGATGTGGACCTTTCATAAATACAATAAAACTTAACATTAAAAAAAAAATGACGATTGTCTTATTTTTAAAAATACATTTAATGAGGATTGTTGTTGAGATAATTAAACATTTTCGCAAGTTGAAAAACATCGTAAAAAGTTGAAGATACATTTTTAAATTTTGATTGCTATTGAAAACCGTATATTGATAATTGAGCCAAAAAACTTTTTGGGGTGGTATAAAATATTTTCAAATTTTTATGTAAAATTTAGTTTCATCTATACATAACATTAGTGAGGAAGTGTACTGCGAATATGACTACAATGTAAAGGAATCAATTTTTGATTATATGTTTATTGCAGAAAATATTAGTAACAGTAGTAGTAGTGTTAATCATTTTTGTAATAATATTTTTTTTTTATTTATTGTATTTGAAAAAGAAAATAATATGAAAAGAAGTAAAAACTTAATAAAATTATTCATGAGACAACTTACCCAATACATATAAAAACTGCATCATAAAACATTATACTTTCTGTTCCATGATTTAAATCTTTAGCAGTCAAAAGCCAACCCCCTTCTGTTCTAGAAACCTTTGTTACTAAGTGTTCTAGCTACAACATTTACATTCTATGATCAAAATTACTTTATTGAAATTTAAAGTTAAAAAAAATGTACTTCTTACTACTATTAATTATTATATCATTGTAATTACTTTTATGTTTTCTTTCAAATTGTACTCATTACAAAAAGACTGAAGATAGTCCAGGACTTGTGAGCGGGTTATGTATGAGACATTTTCAATATTATAGTGATACTCACTAAATTCCATTACTTCCTTTGGAAGATTACTCCTTAAAAAAATATGACAGAAGTTAGGTATTTTTATAAGTAATTTTAATAATTATGTTACTTATCAAAATAATCAGTTTACCTCAAATCTCTGTACATGCTAGATGCAACAGGAAGACCATGCTTATCTACTGTGTTTTCTGAATAAATCCAAGTACCACCAACTTGATCACCAGTCTCAAATACATCGTAATTAATTCCTTTTTCAGAGAGTACTTTGGCAGATATCAGGCCAGAAGCTCCGGCTCCAATTACAGCTACTTTCATTATCTAAACTTAATATTTTTTTTATCACTACGTACAAACATTGCAGTACTCATCAAATAAGTTTAGAGATAGGTATCTAGTTGACTGTTAAAATTGCAAGGATGAAAAATGGTCAGAATGTGCAGTCAAAAACTTGTTTATTGAGTTTGTTGATGTTGCCACCCAAACCAATTGGTCATCATCAGGACTATGGTTTGGAGGCTGGATAAGAACTGAATTCTCTGGTCTGACTGTTCTAGTCGGCTTTCAAACCATTACCCTGATGATAACCACATATTTGGGTCGAAACATCAGCAAATTCAATAACATCAGCAACATATTTTTGACTACATATTCTGACCATTTTTTATCTTCATATAATTAACTGTTCATAGATATTGTGTTAGAGTTTCTTTCTTATATATATATTTTTTTATGAGGAGTTGGTTGGGGAGTGCGGTCAAAGAAATACTAAATTTTTAAAAAATAGTATTTTTAATTGTTACTCTGACATTTCGACCCACTTAGCTGGTCTTCATCAAGGCGTGGCATCAGGCACTGCAGGAAGCAGTTAATGGCCAGGCCAGTCTATCAACTGCTTCCTGTAGTGCCAGATGCCACACCCTGATGAAGACCTGCAAGGTGGGTCGAAACTTGAGCGTAACAATTAAAAATACTATTTTTTAAAAATTTAGTATTTATTTGACTGCACCTCCCAACAACCAACTCCTCATATTATTTCATGGTCAACCATCTCTACATCATTATATATTTTTTTTAGTTGATAGGAAATATAATTAATGAAATTTACAATCCATCTACTAAATATGATAAAGTTTATTAGACAACTGTTCATTATATTTTAATATGATTATTCCAGGTTAGTAGTATCATGACCATATGTATTTATATATCTGAATAAAAAAAAAAAAAAGAACCATGATTAGAGAATAGTTTATAAATGTTTTATTATTTTTTTATTGATATTTACAATTGTATATATATATACAATAAGTAAATCTGCTATAATGATAAATAAAACATGATAAAAACTTGTAAAGAAACTACCCGTTGGTAGCACTAGTTTATAGAGCACTAGTATATTTTGTATCAATTTGCAATGTCTGTGAAATAGATAATCTATGAATTTATTTCTGGGGGATATAATGATTTAGTTGACCTTCATGATTCATTGCAATATTTTAGCAAATTAGTTTTGTAGACAGTTACGTGTTTTTCTTTTAGAGGATTAAACATTTTGTTTTGCTAACTGTTGAAGTGGTGAAAATCATTTATTTATTTAATCCTACATCTTTTGCATGTTGTTTCTAAGATTATAGTCCTAAAATATTTTCAGATCTGCATATTAATATAATGGTGTCCACTATATTAATAAATTGTTTAGCTGGTTATGCAATTTTACATCTTGAAAACCTTGATAAAACATTGACCATGAAATCTTAATATTTCTATGTCAGTGTATAATATATTCCAAATCAATAATAAATAATCCTAATCAATCAAATTTAATCTTAATAAATAAGATAATTTAAAAATGCCAGATGACAAGATTTTTTTTTTAATTCTAAAAATTGTGTTCTTATTTAATTTTGTTTATTATATGGATCGGCATATATAAAAGAGACTGAACTTCATTAAATTTTATTAATTTGCAATTGCTTTATGAATAAAGATGTGCCTAATTAGAAACAAAAATCATTATTAATTAACTAGTTAGTATTAATTATTACTAATGTTATTCGATAAAACTAATAATATGGTAAATATTATTTATTTCATATTTTAGACATTGGTATAATAGCTAATTGGTTTTATCATGGAGAGTTTAAAAAAAAGAGAAAAAAAATAACCACCAAACAGCTATTTTAACTTATCAAATTGTTTATTTACGAAAATGAGTTAGACTTGTATTGGATTGTAACTTTCTTATTCAAATTTAAATGTCTTTATCAGTACAGTAAAGAATGATATGCGATATATTAAAATAGTAGTTAAAAAGCAGGAATGCAAATTTAGCAATTATATTTGCCAAATATTAACAAACAGTAACCAACCGAATGGCGTATATAACAGCCTCTCTCTGAAGTAATACCGAGTGAGCGGCAGCCAGCGAATGACTGAGTGCCTTGAAGTATTATTTTGGTTAATTAATGAAATTTTAAATGTTATATATATTGTTTTTTAATGACTCCAGATAATTTGTTATTGTGGTGTATGTTGACGCCATTTTTGATTTGTGAAGTCACACCATCTTTTGGCGGGAATTTTGAATTGGAATAGTAATTGTTTCTGTTGGTAGTGTTGTTTGCAAATTTCGAGACCATTAGCTACAACTCTAAGTTATTTAGTTATTATTTTTTTGGGTCAAAATTCCGATCTGCCGTTTTCGACGGATCCATACGTTTCAGAGCCCTCCAAGTCCGAAAAACACATTTTTAGCCATTGGTCTGTCTGTCTGTCTCTGTCCGTCTGTCTGTGCCAAAAATTTTCTCGGGAACTACTGAACCGATTTTTTTTTTATTTTTTTTTTTATTTTGTAGGATTTTGAATACTGATGCCTGTTATACAAATTGAGTGTTCCATGCGCAATAGCGGTTGCCCAATAAACACAATTTAGCCTGTTTTTTTGAAAAGTAATGAAAATCTCTACAAAACAATATAAAAATCGTTCATTTCGGACAATTATTAACGAAGTTACAGCTATTCAATTTCCAATGTAAGATTACGGGTACATTTCCTGGTGTCAGAAAGGGACGAATGAGAGAAAAAATATAGCTCAGTGAAAGTAAGAAACTCTGTTGCCTTTATCGAACAGGCTTTACCTCTACTTTTAACAGAAATTATTGTTTAACAAAATTAAGCTATGGCAAAAAGTTTTTGATTAGCAGTATTAGTGGGTATTGAAATTTTTACACTGTTCCACCTTAAGCCGGTTTACACTGCTTAAGTTTATCAAATAAATCAAATTCAATTTTGTTTTGTTTATTGATAGACGTATGTAAAGATACAAAATATTTTCTGAAATAGGTAGGAAAGTCGTGTGAGTGGGCACACCATATTTTTGAATAATATGTTATGCTACCAGTTTTTCTGGAACATTTTAAATATAAATAGTTTCTATGAGAATCTTCCCGTTCCATCATTCGTTACGATTGATCGCATAAATTGGTTTGAGAACTGTTTTATTAATTAATAAAGGAGTTGGTTGCGAATGCGCTAATAGAAGGACATACACAGTTGCTATCTTATTTTTAATGTGTACATACGTTTTGACATTAGAGGATCCAGGATTTAATTTTGAGTTATTTTTTTTTTAATAATGGTAACCAGTAGTTGTTCTGGAAGACAAATAAATAAACTTTATAAAATAACGTTTAAGTGGTCCCTCAAGGCCTGTCGAAAAAAGGGGAAGGGTGGGCCACCTTATCATAATTCAAAAAGAGTACATATTTTGATTATTCAAGTGTTTATCTTAGATCAATCATAAAACAAATCTGGAACAATGAAAAAAAAAAATAAATGGGAGAACTTCAGCACGAAATTCTTTCCCGTGGATCTGCCTATGTGTTTTGGCAACGAGTCCAAAATTCTAGATCAAATCAACTTTTAAATTTGTTGATATCGATTTAAGATGACGATAAATAGGACAAAATGATGTAATTAACCTTTTATTTTTATTTGACATATTCTGATTTTTTTGTAGGTGCTTAACAAGGAGCCTCGTACTCCTCTAATAGTTGAAAACCCCATAGTTTTGGGTTATTTGATAAACTATTTCAAAATGTGAAAATTGAATTAAAACATTTTACTCAAAGTTAGGTTGTAAGCTAATTAAGGTTTTATCAATGCAATGTTTGAATAAAAATTGTTGTAAAGTGTCAATATTCATAAGTAATTAAAAATTTTAAGTCCAAAAGAGTTAGGAAAATTAAAATATTTTTTATCGGATAAATGAATGAATGAATGAAAAATAATTTTATTCTAGGACTGAAGTCCCTTCAGAATAATTGCAGGGTTCAAAACATATGCACATCAGTCTGACATTTAGATATAATACAGGTATATAAAAAAAAACTAAGGAAAATACAAATATTTACAAAAAATACTAAGGAAAATACAAGTATATACAAAAACACTTAGGAAAATACAAATATATACAGAAAAACAATTAAATAAAAATAAAATAGCTCTTATGAATTAGCTGCTGGTGAGCAACTGTAGTTACATAGCCTAACAGTTCTTATAAGCTTGCGGAAGATTGAATGTGTAGTAGATGGTGGAATTGGAAGGAGTTGTTTGAAGGAATTTGTGGATATGATTTGATGGATGAAGGTAGGTAAATGCACCATATTTATAAAAATAAGGGTTATGACGGTAAGAGTTTGGATCAGGTAAAAAGTTTTAAATATTGGGTGCTCAGCTCGACGAGGTGAGGCAGAGAATAGTGCCTGCAGGAAGAATGTTTTTCTCGGTTAGAAGAGGCTTTCTCAACCGAAAAGAGGTAACCAAGAAAACATAGATGGCGCTCTACAGATGAGTATTTTTTCCAATACTGACGTATTCGTCTGAGTCCCGGTCACACACTTCAAAGCACAGGAGCCAGGTCCAGGTTCTAGAGATGCGATACCTGCGAAAGGTGGAGGCACAGACTAGACGAGACAGAATTCTCAATACGATCATCCGAGCCATTCTCGACGCCAAAGCGGTCGAAACCATTATAGAGGAATATAAGTTAAAACGGTTCGATAGGAGCAGGGTCGCGAGGAAGACTTGTGAGACTCGCGTGAAGTGAAGACCGATTCTCCTGGAGAAGACCCGAATCTCCTATGAATAAGGCATGTGAGATGCGTTCCAGAATGGCTGGAATGGAACAGGAGAAGAGAGCTGGTGTAGGAGAGGTTCACCTGGTCCAAGCTCTACGAAAAGCAACCTCACTCCGCTAAACTACCAAAGAAGATTAGATTGTGATGAAAAATTCTGAATAATTTTATTCCAAATATACAACCAGTTGTGAATTTTTGTTCTGACTATTGAATCAATAGAGAAATTTAGTTCAAACTTTTGAAATGTCGTGAAATTTTATTTTTTGTCCCTTCCCCTTAACAAAAAAATAAAATAAATAAATTTAGCGACATCCCTCTGTTTAACCTTGGTGATCATTTAATTTTTTTTTACTTTTAATAGCGTTATAATATTATCAGTTTAGATAGTGTCCGTTTACTTATCATTTTAATGAGTTGCTGTGATTTCCTCTTCTCTATAAAGTAGAAAATTACGAAAATGACATTTTAAAATAATAAAATTGAAGATTACCAAACTGACTTTTAAAGATTAAAGATAAATACAAATAATGACCAAGAGAGGAACTAATTGTTTCCACTTGTGATAAATGGGCTTCGACTTATCTTTTTTTTTTTCATTTTTATTGATTATGTTTTTTTCACATTTCAAGTTTGAGTGCAATTACTACTGTATTATGAGTGTTCAACACAGAATTAAAAAAGAAAAACTTTTCATATTTACAGATTTGATTCATGGGAATGTTTATTTTTCTATTCATCCATAGCTTATCCGATGTTATTTAAAGGCACTGTTTTAATGCTTGTTGTTTTAATTAGAGGGAAGCTTCAGCCCAAAAGCTTTTTATTATATATTTATGTATATATAACTTACGTCGGTTCGAACTAGGAAAGATAAAAAAAAGAAAGAAAGAAAGGTTTGAAATGAAACGCGTGGTTGCTCAAATAATACTGACTTTATTCTCTCCGTAATGCTATATATATAGCATTACGGTTTGTTTACAATTATTGACTAGGATTAACTCTTATATAAACTTACATCTAACCATAACTCCCCCCCGCCAGTTTATGAACACTTCTCATAAACTAACGCAGGGTTAGTGATATAATACATAACAAAACATAATACATAACAAAACAAAACAAAATAATCTTCCTTGGCGTTCCCATACAGCCATAGCACAGAACAAATAAAATTAAACATTTTCCTGCAATAAAAGAGCTACAAATGAAACAAACCTTCGACCGTCCTTCCACAGCTAGTAGGAGACAGAAAAGAGGATATACCACTTATTTACGACTGACCCGGTTCTATCGGGAGTTTCAACTGTTCTATGTGAACGGTCCTCCGTTTCCTAGGATCGTTCAGACTCTGAATGGTACAAAGATTGTGTTCGCGAAGTACAATCACTTTGAATGGTCCGTCGTAGCGTGCCAGTTCTTTCCCCCTATTAGAACCTACCCTGCGATAGACTGTCATCCCTATCTTCAAGTCCTCCATTCTGTCCTTGAGGTTCAGATTGGCCTTCTCCACCCTTCTCCGTTTTTCCCGCTCTATTTTCCCTCTCGTTTTTTCCCATACTTTCTTTATCTCTGCCCTGTTACAAGTGATCCGTTGAGCTTGTGCTTCGTCCGTGAGTGTTTCCATCCAATCCCGTCGCCGTATATTTACTCCAAACAATACCTCGACCGGAGAAAACCCTGTAACGGAGTGGATCGAATGGTTATAGGCCGCTACTGCTCTTTTCATAGCTACATCCCCTTCCAATCCCTGCTCCCCTTGATAAATACGTAGGTGGTCGCTTAACGTGCTGTGCAACCTCTCGATATTTCCTCTGCCCTTTGTATGTCCCGGAGTATTAAAGTGCCAATCTATATCTAAACGTTTAACCTCCTCACGTACAGTACTGTTGTCGAACTCCCTCCCTCCGTCCGACGTTATGCGATCAGGCACTCCGTAGAACTGGGCCCACGTTTGTAGAGCCCCACAACCGCCTCCGACAACTTATCTCGTACTTGATGTGTCATCGCTACCTTGCTGAAGAGGTCGATCATCGTAATCCACTTAAACCCCCTCCAGGTAAATGTATCGACTTGCACATCTTTCAATGGCATGTCTCCCGTAGGGGTTTCCTCCTGTAATCCTTGAGGTGGCCGTCTATCGTACTTAGTGCGCGCGCACACTTCGCATCTCCCAATGATTTCTGAAATTGTCTTCCTCATGCCATCCCAGAAATATCTTCTGCGCAACGCTTGAAACGTCTCTTGTTCACCCCGATGGTTGGTCTTGCCCTGGTGGTGTGCCACTGTTACCTCCCACTGCTGCTCTTTGTCCGTCACCGTTTCGACTAAGTATTTACACCTAATAAACGATCTGTCGATGCCTATTTTTTCTGATCTCCAGAGTTTCTTGATTTTTTCCCAGATGGTTGCATTCCCCACATACAGGTGGTGAACCTTTCCCGGCTCCGAGGCGTCGTGCAAGGCCTTACAAATTTGTTCTTCTTTCACCCCTGGTTGGGACCAAATGGTGTTCACCTTCTTCCTTCCATAATTACTGAAGTCAATCTTCATGAGCCCCGACGTTCTGGTCTTCCAAATCACCTGTCGTCGCTTATCGTTGATGATCTCTTCGCATTCCTCGATGTCTGTAGGCCTTTCTTCCACTGAGCTCTCTTCTCCTCTCGATTCCTCTGCTTCCACATTCCCTGGTTCCCCTTCCCCTTCTGGTGTCCACGCTCTCAAAAACTGCCGCACTTCCCGCGACGACTCTCCTTCTTCCTCCTCGATAGCATTTATCATTATGGCTCTGGACAGCCAGTCCGCTACCACGTTGTCTTTACCTGGCTTATATATGACCTCCATATTGTACTGGCTTAAAAATTGCTTCCACCGAGTGACCCTGGCCGATGATTCCTTTAAATTACCAACCCATTGCAACGGTCTGTGATCGGTATGCACCCTAAATTTTCTGCCAAAAATATACGGCCTAAAGTGTCCTACCGCCCATACAATGGCCAAGAGTTCCCTTTCCAGGGCGCTATATCGCGTTTCCGCATCTGTAAGCCGCCGACTCGCATACGCTACTGGCTGTTCCCCCTTAGTTCCCTCTTGAGCAAGTACTGCCCCCAACGCATACTCACTCGCATCTGTAGTGACGATAAACATCTTCGCAAAATCGGGGAAAGCGAGTACCGGCTTATCCTGTAACCGCGCCATGCACTTCCTTACGTTGT